TGAAGTCTCTGGTATAACTGGTGTAACTCCATAAAATTGCTGTAACTGAGCTCTCTCACAATAACAGCGATTAATCCACAGGACAGGAAAAACGGTAAACAAAATATCTGAATCTGCCAACGGTCAATTTATTGTCTTTTATTTGCCAAAGCGTGCTGTGGGTGAGGTATAGGAAAATGTATCCACAGTCAGCCTGCAGTGCCTCCAAGACACTGTTCCAAGCCCAGCAGAACATTCTGCAGTAGTTCTCATTTGCTTCTTATCCAAAAAATGCCTGCAAGCCCAGCAGTTTATGAAGCAATTCCACTCCAACCAGATTAAAAAAGAAAAGAAGAAAAAAAAAAGGAGGGATTTCTGGGGACCACTCTCAACGCTCCTGTATCTTCAGCTCAATAGCTGTATTCAACCTGTTCTGCTCACTGCTCAGTCCCAATTACAATGAACTAGCTCGCTGCTCAGTCCCAATTACAATGAAAGTATTTAATTTCCTCTTTGATTTCCCTTCAACAACAGATTGCAACTTGTGACACTTCAAGTAATTTTGGTAGCTCATTTAACACACACTGAAACCTGAATATCTGCTGATTATGTTCCCAAGCTCTGGCTCATTGCAGTAAAGAATGGAGAAAGGAGATGCAATCTCTGGAGATTGAGAACCTGCACATGATTACTGCTGGCTGAAAACTTGTTTTGTCCCAGTAGTCTTGGGGTACAAGTAGAATCTCTCATGAATGATTAATGAACTATAGGCAGATCAATGAAACTCTGCCCTAAATGTATCTATAACCAACTCAGGTGGGGGACAAAGAAGTCTAACCAGCCAGTATCCTGTAATTTACAACTCTTGATGGAGTGAAAAGGAGTAATTCACCTCATTTACTGTGGCTGGTTTCTCAAGCCCAAGTACCCCAGTCACCTAAGTGATTATTTTTTTCCCTTCTCTGCTTTCTACTCATCATTAAAGTTATTATGTGGTGGGTTGACCTCCAATATCCATGTTCATATCAAGGAGAACCTTCCTCCATAAGTAACCCCATTGATTCCAAGAACTGAAAATTCAGGATTATACTCATTACTGGTGAACACATCAAAGTGTAACTCAATCACTTATCAAGAGAATATTAAGCTTCCCATAAAGCACTTTTTAGTGTTAAGTCTTGGAAATCTTTACATTCTGTCAGCAATATCAAACTTCAAAATTATTTCTTATCCCTAATTTCTGTAACCAGCATAGTCACTTACTTCCAGGAATAATAAAGACTGTAGACCATATTCTCATCTTTTCTTGATGGATGATGAGTAAAGTTGGCCTCAGTAAAGTTGTTAACGATGTAAAATAAAATGCAAATTAAATAGCACAATCAAAATCAAGCTATTAAAAAAATAGTCATGCAGGCAGTATATGATACTAAGTACCACCCTTTTGCTTACATTGTTACATAGATAATATCAGCATATTAGAAACATAATAAATCACAGAAAGCTGTTTCTCTAGCCAGGAGTTTCTCAAACTATGGGTCATGACCCTCCATGGGGATTCATGAATGAGTTTGAATGGGGTCACAAAAAAACTGTTACTGAGAAGCAAGGGCAGATATTTCCCCATAAGTTAAGCAGCCCAATCCTCTAGCAGGGGAGCAAGAAAGCAGACTGTAATTAGTGGCTGCAAGTATTTATACTTGCTAGGGAACTGCTAACTACTTTTAATTACAACAGCTCGCTTTCTCCAGGAGAGGGGAGCAATATAGGCTAGAATTAAAATTGCCGGATAGTTGCTAACTGCCTTTCATTGCAGGCAATAGACCTGTTTCTCCAGGGAGGAAGAATAAATTTGTGACTGGATCTTATTCCCCCATCATTGAGAAATGGGGCCATTACCAACTCAGGGGGTCACACAAATATGCAATCAAACACAGTTGTATTTTGAAACCATGTAAGAAAGAAATCAATAGTCTCATTTATAGAATATGCGACCACCAAGCAAAGAGTGAGGTGCCCCATGCAATCTGCACTGCATCCTGGTGAAGAAGGACATTTATTAAAGGGCTTAAAATGAGAAGGTAATTGAAAAAGTAGAATTATCTCACTGAAAACCACTTGTACATTTCTCTCTGCTGCCCTGCCTGTCATCTGAACCCACTTTCTTGCCCAGAATGGATCGCCTTTTCAAAGCTGTCCCACAAAGATGTACCAAGATGGAAACTGAAGATCAGCACTTGAGGCTGCAGTCCCACACCACACGGCTTGGCTTGGTTAGCACTGATGAGAGTCCTCTCCTCTTCCCTCCTGAGGGCAGCTTTCATCGAGACTGGAAGAGAAAGTATCTAGTTCTTCTCCCTCTCTCAAAATTGGGGATTTTAGGGAAATACAAGAGTGATATGCACCCCACATCCCCATGTTAGGGGCCTTTAGTGTCACCAAAGTCCATGTTTGCTTTCTTGAGGTCTCTATAAGGTACATGAGTGGCTGCAGAGCAGCCTGTCTCCTTCAGGGCCCGCTGGCTATTGCAGCCACCACATACCTTGCTCCAGGAGTGCTCTGCAGCACCCCGTAAGGGAGTGAGAGCAATGTCAGGTGAAAGCAGCCTCACTGGCAGGCATGCCCTTATCTCAGCAGCGAGGGGCTCCGCTGCACGCTGCCCCCACAGACATGTTCCCATCCTCACACCGCACCCTGCGATGTGACACCCTCTCCCTGGGGAAGCAGCTCAGAGAAGAGATCCAGTTTGCAAATCACCTGGGGAAAAAGAAAAAGGAAAAAAGACAGAAAAGTCTTATTTTTCAGCTGGATTAGTTTTCCAACCTGTTGCATTGCACAACCGCATGAGCACCTGTGGTGGCCTGAGCCAAGAGTGGGAAACATTAACAGTGGCTTAAACAGCACTGCCACGTAGTGGCTGCTTGCGAGGGAAAGACTAGCCCTGGCTGCTGGTGGGAGAGAAGAAGGAGGGGCAACCTGAATGGTGTCTACACAACTTGCCATGGAAGAGGTCTCTGATAGTGAGAGGAAGCTCCTGAGTTTTGGAGGCAAAGCCATAACACAGCAGAGGGGTCAGCATCGAAGCTGGGCAGCTTGAAACTCAAAATGGACATAGCTGCCTGCTAGTGACGGTGATGAGATGTGGGAGGAGATGAACTTGCGTTGGCCCAGGACATTAAATAAGAGATTAAGCCATAAGACCTACATTTCGGGTCTCTCCTGCATTTGTGTACAAGAAGTGGGACGAATTTGTCACAACAAGCCCCTTGCAGAGGAGAGAATAAAAATGG